AAAATCCCTTTATCTCCTTTACGACCTTTAATACCGGAAAACCTATTTATGGTAAATGATCTTCGCAACCGTTAATTAGATACTGCGCCCCAACAACGACCACGTGTTTCCCGGTTTACATTTCTGCGGTTCACACTATTCATATATTATCATTAGTGCTATTTTCAGTGTAACACCCGAAACCTTTCGGTTTCGTCTTATGAATCATTTAACTCTTCGGAACTTCAGTCCGAAATAGCGATGCATTTTCCGAAGAGTTAGATGATTCATAAGACGAACTGAAAGATTTCGGAAAACGAGCAAATTTTTCAAGTGTCCCAAAATGCTTTATTAAATTTGCATTAAAATTTGACGTACGTTACATTTTAATCGATTCGGTCTAAATTTTAAACCGACGGTCATTTGAAATTTGGGAACCACGTAATGAGGATCATTGCTACAAATCATATGCTGATTATATCGATATCGATATATCGTAATCTGGATAAAAACAGTAATATTAAAGAAAGTGTAATGTAAACAAATAAATGAAATTCAATATGCAAATAGGTAACACTATCTAAGCCCATCTAAAGAATGTCACGAAAAATTAGAAAAATATTAATGGTAATAATATACTAAAAAACGTAATAATCCACATGGACGCGTATTACACATACGTATTACGTACGCACGAGTAGAAAAATTAAATTCTTTCTAATGTTAATGCACAATAACTATTAACGCTCTGTCTTTATAAAGCAATAATTTGCAAAATATGGTATTCCTACATTTAATCAAGCAATGTTTGCCCATTCTCTATATTTAATTTATCCATACAAGTATATAAAGTTCTTGACATTAGTTGTTAATTGCCTTCTAAAACCGAGTTAAATTTCTACAGATGCGTTTATTCATACAGTACTGTCTATTGCTATAATTTTGCATTATTATTCCTAAATTATATATCGGCAATATTACATTTTAATTTTATAAATAGGCTTAAATTTGATCTTTTAAATATTTGGGTTTAAACCAATTCCTTAACATTTATCTTTAAATAATCAAAATGGGCTCATTATTCAGACCTACACATTGTTGTTGTTGCATTTCTTTAAGAGCAGGTTCTATTATTATTACAATTCTCTGGCTGGTAAGTTACATTTCAATGCGAATAAATAATTATAATTTAATTAAATTATTTATGTGCTAATTAAAAGTATTTCCCAATCCTAGCTTGGATCATTAGCTCAAATTATCAGTTCTTTACAAGCTATCGTTCAACAAGGAAAATGCACTGATTGCCCATGTGTGAATTATTCATTCGCTTGATTTCTTTTTCTCTGTTCATCGGATGTTAATATTGCTTACATTTCTAGATAGTGAAGGATACTATATTGTGAATTTAATTCTTCATGCCATATTCGTTTTAATCGCTGTTTTTGGGATTATGGTTCTTTGTTGTAGGGTATGTGCTATATATGTAATAGCGTTATGGTCTCAGAAATTATGAAATTCATTATACTAATTCTTTTTATAACACTTAAGGAAAGAGCCTCTCTTTTAAGGACCTATTCTACTTTATTTTGGATTGTTATAATTGGTGAAATTTTATATTTTATTTATTTGATTATTCTTGCTGCTGTAGATAAGAATACATTTATAAGAGCGTGTGCGAATCAGAATGAGAGTGGAGATGCAAGTCAAGGAAATCAAGATTGTAAAGATTTTAGTTACAAGACTGTTTTGATAATAAATGTCGTGGCTTATGGAGTGGCGACTCTTATCTCGGTATGTTGACATTATTCGTATTTAATCAGATTTAAATAATACCAATACCTAATTAATTTACTTGTTCTTTTACAGATTCATTATGCTTCAGTTATTAGTGCATATTCCTCACTACGTAGTACTGAAGAGGAAAATTCTAATATGGATAAATAAGAAAATCTGTGGCTTAAATCTATTATTAACTATTATATTGTACTTTTAATGTTATAATTACATTAGTATTTATAAAATAAAATCAGGAAATCTTAATTAGTGAAGCTCATACATTTAATATATAATGAATATAAATGCAGTCAAACCTCTTTATTCTGGCCCGAATACACTCTATTCTTTAAATGCAAACTTTCAAAAATAGGGTCTCTTCGAGTTGCACTTACTGTATAATCGCGAAATAACGCGCAGGGGTGTAATTTCGAATTTCGGCCTAAATTAAGCTTATTTCGGAAATAACACCCCCATCGGAAAATTAAGTAAGTTCAAATTTGCAAAAATCTGTATTTTGCAGATTTTTGCGGAATTTTTTGCAAAAATCTGCAAAATTTTTTAGAATTTGAAGTTTTGCACAAAAACTGCATTTAATTTCTGCATTTATGTATCAAATTTGAAGTTTTGTGCAGATTTTCATTTGATATATTATTTAGCTATTTATTATACACATATTATTTTAATCTTGTTTTAATTCAGTGGATCTACATGATGTTCTGTTTACACTCTTCGTTCAACAAATCGTAACAAGGCACAAATTGAATTAGACTTATGATGAATGAAATAACATTTAGAAAGGAAACAATAAAAAAAAAAAAAGAAATAGCAAGTAATAAATGGAAATTATAATATAAAAAATTCAAATACAGGCCACAATGAATATAATACCAAATTCAACTCTTGAAAAATTAATTTTACTACGTATGATAAATACCGGTATCATATTTTAATGACTAGCAATGTGTATTCATTATACACAATATTGATAATATATTATTAAGCAAAATGAATAATCATTATGTGCCTTCAATTATGAATTTTAATAAAACTAGAAATTGAGTCTGGCAAAGAAAATTGAAAAACATACGGTTAAAATTTTTTATAGGCTCATGATAATTGCTATTTTTTAAAAATAATAGTCTGAATTTAGGTCCTGCTCTGAGTTTAGATTTATTATTTGATATTAATATATGCTAATCTCATTAAATAGGCTTTAATACATATTTAACTAATCTAGTAATCAATTTAATAACTGTTAACGTTGAAATAAAAACTATGAAATTGTGCTATATAATTAAATACACATTCTAAATCTTTATTTATTTATTAATATTGTATAAGAAGCTAAGCTAATTACATAATAATATATATAAATATAGAATTACTAATATTATTTCTTATAACTATTTTGCCTGCTAATGCAAAGAGTAAAAACTAGAACAAATTATTAATAGTTTAGATTAGAGGGTAGAGAACCTTTTATATTCTAAATCTCAAAATTTATCTAAATTGATTAAATTACTAAAATTCTGCTTTTAATCTAGATTATTATTATTATTATTATTATTATTATTATTATACTTAGTAGAAACCTTTAAATTTTGCTAAATATGTTTATTATATAACTATCATATAAATATTATATAACTATGATATAACTAAAGTTATTAGATAGTAAATATGTGTTAAACATATTGTTATATCAGTGTATTTTTATTAAAATAGTTACACAAATTACTATTATCAGTATTTGATAAATTTGTTAATACGAATAAGAGATTACATCAAATTGCTTCTGAAACTTTGAATAGTTTTGGTCACTTTTATCAGTATTAAATAAGTTTTTTGATCTTCTTCATGACAGTTTAAGAATAGATAACATGAAATATTTATTTCTTGGTACAATTTAGCTATAAGTTCAAGTGGGAGCGATGTCTAATTATTATAACCATGCGCAGTTTGATAATGTATTGGTCAAACTTGAATAATGAAGAAATGGGTAATACTTATAATGGAGCATGTTTTGCAAAGGTATTTAACAACCTGTAATTTTTTTTGTTTAATATATAGTGAAGATAAAATAACATAATCATATTAATAGTTATAATATATAAAATCTTTCTTACTGTAAAATTAAATTAAAAAATTAATTGGTAAGTCTTTTTTAAATACTATTAGGTTTTAATGTTTTGTTTAGTAAGAACTCCATTATTAGAAATTTCATTCGAATTAGCACTTGTTAGATAGTACAATTTTAAATATTTAAATTATTTGTATAAGTACAAATACCCATGGATAAAACTTACAAACACTTATAGCTTTATTTCTATGAATTCATTAATAGAACTTGTACGTATAATATTATGCTTTAATAGTGAAAATAAATACTTTGAAAATATTTTTATGTTTTAAATTTATATATTCTCAGTTAGTATTATTTATAGTAACTATTGCTTTATATTATTAAATAAATAAGTAGCTAGTGCTAAACTAGAAGCAAATAAATATAAGCCTGTTAGATAATTCTTAATAAAAAAATGGTTATTGTTATATATGTATCTAGTAATTAGATTCAATATCGGATATACAGTTAAGAATACACAATTCTATAATTATGTTGTATGTCAAAATAAAATTATTGTGAATTTAAAATCTACTTAGGTTGGAATGAAATTCCAAATATAATCCAAGTTGATATGAAATTTTAAAGCAATTTAAGTTAATATCAAGTTAATTTTAAATTTGCTGTCACAATAAAATTGTAATTGATTGACACAACAAATTGTTAAATAAATTATATAAATATTTTATTATTTTATTATTTTACTTTGTTATTCTTTGTAAAAACACTACATGATAACCAGATCTTAAGATTATTTATTTTGCCATAATGTATTTAAAGACAAACTTTCCAAATATCTTAGCAACAAATCAACTAATAGTCAACATAATATCTTAATAGCATATAAAAACTTTGATTTTTGTATTAAGATTTTACACAATTAAATGATAGTTACCTTGCAAAATTATTGAATGACACAGTGCTTGAATACAAATCTAGCATTATTAAATTACTATAAATTTCTAGAATTAGATACTATATTACAGTCGATCCTAGATATATGAATGTTTCTATAATAACCTTTAGATATAATAAACACTAAAATTTCCTATAACAAAATTTTTTTAATACATATAAGTATTTAAAAAGTGTCTATTATACAACCCTCCTCACAAATAGATAATATTAAATACAAATATAAAAAAAAACATGAGAAAAAATTATTGTAAATAAAAAATATATTTGCCATGTAGAAATACTAATCATAGATGTAAAAACTTCATATAATACTTTTAAATTACTTAATAAATAAACTCTAAGTTTTAAATTTCAAAACAAAAGCACTTGATAAAATTATTTAAAATATACTTAATTTTAGTGTAGATTGAATTGGAATTTTTTAATGACTCAGGCATATTTTAGAATTCTATTACAATATATATTTATTTTGAATAAATCTAGATAGATTCTAAATCTACAATGATTCCATTCCAACATACAATATATATAAAATTCAGGTTTAATTTATGTTATATTATTTTATATTAACCTATCTCTTAAATTGTAATACAGGCAAATTTGCCTGTGTTTTATTAAAAAGTTTAATTTTTTTAATAAAAACTTATATATTAATTTTAGCTATATA